CTTCTTCTCTTTTTAACGAATATGCAGACACACGGAAAGAGCACGCACGAAAACGCTTTAAAGAAGCGAAAGGGTTATTTATTTGATACGAAATGAATGACTTGACTGAAAGAAATAAATAGATTTGTTTGGTACAAGAAAAAGTAAGCTTGATTCGACGTTTTCAACGGAGCACAACACTTTTTGTGAGACACATTCCTTTTTCCCACATACAATAAATTATTATTCTCTGTTTCCTCGTGATTGATAAATAAAAAGAAAGCTATATATTATATATATATATATATATATATCTAATAGATCGACTCGATTGGAATTCTCTAAAAATTTCTATCAGTTTCTTAACTTTCTTTCTACATAGAATCATTGCTTTCTATTATTCTCATTTGGAATTATATTATTCATCTTTTTATTATTATTCTTTGTTTCGAATATAATATTTATTATAATGAAAAATAGGAGAAATGTTACGTAACATTTTACTAATTTTTATTAATAATCGTTCACTATATTTCGTATACTTTCTATAATATTGCATAATATTTCATCTTTCTAATATCTCTTTTTAATCTCTAATGAAAGATAAACGGAAGATACGATGAATCACAAAATTCACGTTCAAACGTGATTTTCGAGTAATACGAAAGCTTCGCGGAAAGTGAAAAATTTCTTATTTAATACAATTCTTTAATACAATTTCCCATTCTAATAATAAACGATCATCCCAACAATTGTGTCGAATTGATTCTAAACAAAAATATACATATTTCGTATCGAGAATGAGTTTACAATGATTCGTTGCACAATTTCAATTATAATCGTGTCACAATCACCTTCTGCAAACGCAAAAATGAATCATAGCGCAATAAAGGGGGATCGTTAATCGAACATCAAACATTTTTCTACGTAGCAGGTGTGCCAAACTGCAAGGAATAATCATCTATGTTTGATCAAGATTCGCACGAGCAATTGGTTGTTGATCTACGTCACCCTTCTCACCCGCGTTCGAAGGACTCGTGATAGAAAAAACGTGATAGAAGATGCATCGATATATCGTGATTTACCAGGTCAGTTATCACTTACCACAAAACGTCATTGTACGATTAGCATGGGCCCGTTTGACGTCATTATTTCATATAAATGCCGCAAGAATGCATTGTCGGGGCACAAACTTGTTACAGAGCTGTTTCGAGCAGATTTGGTGACTTTTTCGTTCAGGATCAAGAGAATCGAGCTGAAAATACGCGAAGTTTGTTTTTTTGGTTTTTTTTTTCTTTGTCGAGTTAAAGATAATTCTTAAAGCATTCTCTTTTTGAAAAACGTGTTGTGAAGCTGTTAAAAATTATAAGATTGATCTTCGACTTCGAGGGAAGGCTTTACCGATTTAATAAGATGGTAAGATCACGTCGAGAATACGTAAGAATTTGTACAAGGAAAAACAAAAAATAAAATTCTATATTTTCTTTTTTCAGAGGTCGATCGTAACTGTCTATCTTCTGGTTCTTCTTGGCTGCTGCGCCGCATTTCCGGTCAAACCGGAAGACAATAGCAGTCCACTCATTACCAATCCAATTTTTCTCCAAGAACCAATTAATCTTGGAAACAAGGCTCAAGATAACTCATCTCCAGTGGCGTACATACTTTTTCTGAGCAAATTGGATGGATCGGAAAGAAAATTCGATGGCATTTCGATCGAGAAACGCAACGTGGAGGAAAATGAAGACCTCGAATCGGCAGCTGGTACTTACGCTCTTCGACCACTCTTCGTCTATCGACAACAAGTGGCGTACAGGCAACGGCTTAGGAACAGCCGCCAAGGAAATGGTTTCTGAATGACGTTAACGACGTTGTTTTTATAATGTTGACAACTTAATGCAATGAAAAGGCAGGCGATTTGAAAGTTAACGAAACTCTGATGATTCTTAAACGAATATTTATTAATGAATATTTATGAATGAAGAGAAAAGAGATGTTTTCATAGAAAGGATCAAATGATCTTTAAAAAATAGAAATTTGAAAGATTTAAGTTTCTTGAAAATTATCAATTTTCGAAGATGAACTTCGTATTATTATTTCTTTTTTTTTTTATTATTAAGAAACTTGATAAAAAATCATCACTATGAAAATCATCAAAGATCGATGAGATAGATTTAGTCTTTAAGAAGACTGACTCTGAGTTAACTTGCTAATGAATAAATATAAATAGTGGAGTTGTTAATTGGATCACAAACACGTGATCAACATCATCTCTATGAGTATCATTTCTTTTCAAAAAAATAAAAACATCTGATATTTCTGTCTAATGATTTGTGGGATCCAAAATTTTACGCTATTTTTTGCAAGATAAAATCTTAGTTTATAATATATAATTTTAGATTATTATCTGATTAATATCAAACTTATTAAATCAAATCTTTAGCTTTAAAGAAAAACTGCCAACCAAAATAAATGTAATAAATGTAAAAATAATATTAAGTTAAGTGTATTATTTACAATATTATTAATTGTGTTATTTTTGTGATATAATTTTTTTATATTCCTTGTTATTAATATCGAATAAATGCCTTGTAATGATCTAATACTCAATAAATTTCATTTTTCTTGTGTACATACATATTTATTGTAAATAACCATTAATTACATAAATGTTGCCAATCGTTAATATTTTTAAAATTTTCAAAAAGAAGGTATTATTTAGATTTATCCAGGGAATACAGGAATCCTTATAAAATGGTGAGAAGGTTCTCTTTCATAACTGGACCAATATCTTTTGTCGAAAGAGGGCTCCCGATACCAAGGAGGATACAATCCACTTCTATCTTCAGATTCGTCTGAGAATCTTGTATTCCGTTGTTCTCTATCTTCAACGTCTGTAGAATCTGTTTCCGCAGGATCAAGTTCTTTAGAAGATTCGAATTCGTTCGAATTTTCATTTGTCGAAGTTTCTTCTACCAAAATTTCACACTCATTGTATATACATTCATCTGTAGTTGTTCCCGTTTGTTGATTAAAATCAACAGAAGTATTATCCTGTGAAGAATTTTCTGGATCATTATCTTCTTCATTATCTCGTCTAATACGACTCCAAGGTTCGAAAACAGAATTTTGCATTGATTTTTCAAGTATGACTGACACCTTTTCCCCTTCTTCTTCTTCTTCTTCGTCCGTTTCATTTCCAGCGTGTTCAATTTGCTCCAACTTCTTGTCCACAGATTTTGTAGTATCGATAACAGATAGTTCCGACGTTGAAGATAAGATATATTCTTTGCAACATGTTTCGGAAACTGATCTGTCTTCTTCCAAAGAAGATGATGGTTCTTTTTTTAAAATGTCATACATTGTATCGTTATTACTTTTCACGAGATAAGAAGAATTATGATTTGCTGCATTCAAAACAGTATCTGAAGATGGTATCGAAGAAGTTTCTATTTCCAAATTTCTGCATTCATGTAGCTGAAGAATTTGTAACAAGGTGATCAAGATGGAGAAACGTATAAAGTATTCCATATTCTTTATCATCACTGGTAAACTTTTCAAATTATTGAAATCGTGTTACAAATTGATTTTTTTCAATTCATCAACAACGATACGAATTGGTCAAATAGTGATAAGAAACTAAGAAAGCAGAAAATAATATTCCTTCTTTTATAGTTTTAGCAGTAACCGCTAAAATGATCGCTAAACATCCCAATATTATTAACAACTTACTAACTGTGAAATTACTGTTGAAATAATTTCAATGATCCAAAATATTATGCGTTAAATGATATATAATATTGTGCTGTGTCGAAAATACAATGTATACGAAGAAGAAATTTTTAAATCGACGCTTTCTTCGTTATATAATATTATTTATTGTCCCAATTTAATACAATACTTAATCATAGCATATTTCGTGATGGGGAGGGGAAAAAAAACAACAATTGATTTTCGAATAACGTGAAAGGTGGATCAAGGAAGGAACAATAAATGAGAAATTAAATTCAAAGCGACAGGTTCAAGGTCCAAAGTGATGTACCGCAAGTTTGATACTCACGTCTGTTAGCAGGCCAACGATAATTCTTTGGTACCTAAGTATAAAATACGAACGAACCGTTATTATTAGTCAGAGTTGAAAAGACGTTGCTAAAGTTTTCATCAGAGGAAAAAAAAATATAAGAAACTTAAAAAAGATCCAGGAAGATTTCGTATAATAACAACGATGAAGCAATATTACAAAGGGGTATATATATATATATATGTATATGTATATTCATGTATAAATTAAAATTAAGATATATAGCGCATAAGTGCAATATTGCGCAATATATCTTTAAATGAAACTTTAAATCTTTCCATAACTGTAAAATATTATAACTTTATATAAGATCTTTGAACTTTATAACATTGCAAGACAAATTATTCTCTGTAAATTAAAGGTAAAATATAAAAAATTAGAATATTGCGCAGTATATTCCTTTTTTATTATTTATAAAACTCGTGTTTCTTTAAAAATAATAAGAAATAAGCATCGCGATAGAATTTAATTTTTCTTCCTTATTTTGATTAATTTCGTTATTCTTCGCAGGTGATCGTGTTACAATTTGCTCTTTGCTTGATCCTAATTCTTCATGGAAAGGGTTCAACAGGGAAACCTTTGACTCCTGACGATGTGGAAGGTTTACTTCCACCCGATCCACGCGACAAGAATGAAACGATAGCAGCCGTTGTTCAGGATCCAGTTGTCCAAGATGCTGTGCACCACGCGGTCAGCAATGGATCCTTAAACGGATTGGTGATCAAAAAGCATGTTTTCATAATGCCGGCTACCAATCCCAATTTGGTTTGTAAACAAGGAATATTACGTGTTGCAATTTTAATTTTAACTTGATTTTTAACACCGAAAATTAAATGTTTGGGATAAGTAGACAAAATATTTACATCGAAAATTAACGAATTTTAACTATCTTACATTAATTATTCGAAATATTTTAGCCTTCACGATTTCGAACGAGAGATTTGTAAAATTATGAAGTGTGAAACAGCGACATGCATTGAATGTTCTGGAATCTTACCGCGTTACTAATTAAAATTAACAATTTTTCACACGTGTTAAATCAACTTTTTAATTTTCCTACCATAATAATTATTTAAAATTTTTATCATATTAATCTTGTGTCTATTTTTTTTTTTTTTTTTTTTACTTACACTATCATCAAGATACTTTCCAAACGTGAACATCTTCTGGTCGTTCCTACCGAGAACTTGCAAGATGTAAAAAAAAATATTACCGAGGCCAAAGAAGCAGAGACTCAAACTCGAGAATCTTTGCCAGAAAATCAAGCAATCTTCGAGGACGATGAGAGTCGATACTTGTCAGAGGTAAAGGATAATAATTTAACGTAGACGTTCCATACCATCGATTATTTGGACAAATCTTCTATTTCTCTTCCATTAATGTACGTAAAATATGTATATGTATTTCACCGAATAATTCATTGAATAGGTATTTTACAATAATTATTTAACAATTTTATTACGGCTTGGGGAAAAAATTATTTCTCTCAAATACATATTTATCTCCTCGATTTCCAGGGAAATGAAAACGGCTTGAAAGAAAATGAAGACGGGTCCTTGCCAAGCGTGGACCAATCGTCGAATGAAAAACGGAAAAGCGGGACGGAATTCTTGAGAAACAAGCTCACACGGGAGGTTTCGTTACCGCAAGATTCTTCCTCGATGAAAGTAGCCGTCCCTATTGTCGCGGTCATTGATCCCTCGAACGCTGAAAAGGGCCACGTGAAAAGTCCCATCGTGGCCGTTTTGCCTCATCGCGTTAAGGGCGGCGAATTGAACGATCAAATTCAATTCCTAAAGGATAACGGCGAAAAGATTCAGAAAAAGGCTCAAGACTACGTCGATCAGAGCTCGTTAACCATCACCCCCAATTATTGGAGATTTTCAACGCCATCCGAGGTAAAATTTCATAATCCGTGAAATATATATATATATATTTTTGAATAATTCGAAAGAAGTAAGAGAAGAAAAGTACCAGGAGACAATGATATTTTGAAAATTAAAGAAAGGATAATTGTTTTTTTTTTTTTTCTCTCCATTTTCCATTTCAGATCGTCGCTTCATCGCCGGTGTACAGCAACGATCCAGTCCCATCTTACGCGGATCAAGGAGCTTCGAGTTTAACCACGAATGAAATGTTTCTGCCGCCGTTAATCGTATCGCAGTGGGAAATGCTCGCGCCATCTGTACAGGACGATCGAACGGATTACTCAGGAGAAACAGGTGACATGGATGTAGCTGAAGATATTATATTTAGACCTCTGTTTAGATACCGACAGGAAACGCAGCAGCGGTCTAAATACTATGACGAAAGCAATCGAAGATATAGTTACACACCGTATCGAAACTATGACAACTATTATCCGAGACGCTCTTTTTACAGACCTCAGTCCTACAACGATTATTAACGATGTGGATTAGAACGAGGAAAGAGAAACGTGACTTATGTTTGGAAAGCCGTTGAGAAAAAAAAAAAAAAAAAAGGAAGAAGAAATTCTGGTGTAACACGTTTTATTGCATGATTTCTTATTGTATATTATATATATATATATATATATATTCTCTTTGAATCGATGATGAATAAAGTTTTGTTTGTTTCGATGTACTTATAATTGTAGATTCTAAAAAAGGAAGAAAATTAATTGTATTTATTTCTCAAGTGAATATAAATAAAAAATTGGAAACTATTAATAGAAATATCATGAAATGGCTTAAGAATGATTACCTTAGGAACGTAGTGAATTATGACAAGGTCGTCAAGAAGTGAAGAATTCATTGGTAGCACGATTGTATTCGAAATACACGCTGTTAAATATTGTTTATTTCCTTAAGGAGGGATTTGCATTGATCCATCCATTCGTTCGATTTATTGATCAATATTTAAACGATATTATATAAATCTATCTTAACATATCATAAATTTCTGTTTAAAAATAGGATGAGCGTCATTATTTGCTTCGAAAATTAATTGGAATTACATTAAAGATAAAAAAGAGTTAGTCGATGCTGACATTTGACTTAAGAAGCTTGTAAGAAAATAAAACATATATATACGTATATCATTTCTTATACACATTTTATATCCATTTCTTCAATAAGATTGAAGAATTTATTATTTCAAAGAAGTTTAAAATGTGATAAGCAATAATTATGTCGTCATAATTCCAAGTATTTGTACGAATTATAATGAATAATGTGAAAATTTAAGAGAAAAAAAGTATTCTTATCACGAAAATATCAATTTTCGAGTTCTCTCGAATAATTATCATTCATAATAATTATAATTACATTCAACGAATATTCATAAACTAAACTTTTCTACGAATAAGTCTCAATAGTTAAACTCATAGATCTCTTAATTAATGCAGTGCTAATACGTGTTAGGCTAAATAGTTAGTCACATATTTCTTCTTAAAGTAATTATATTAAATTAGAATGCACGTGTATAAATTTGAATTTATTATTAATTAATCTTACTATTACTCTGCAAAATTTTGTATTTTCATTATATGTATAGTATAATATACATTGAAATATTACATATGAAATATTAAACAAAATATTATTTTGTTCCCTTGCCTATCGTTCGTAAATAGAAGGGGAAAAAAATCAAGTTCCAGAAATTCGACTTGTGGGTATGATTGTGAGTAAACGTTTAACACCTATGAAACAGTTTCTGACTGCATTGAGAAGAACGTTCGTGAAATTCTTCGTACTAATGCATAAGATAAATGGAGTTCCTTTGAAAAGAATTCTCAAGGTGTGAAATAAGGGTTTATCTTTGAAATTTGCAAAATAACGGGAGGAAAGGGGTGATTTTCCGAGAATGTGAATTGGAAAAATACATTTTTGGAAAAAGGTAAGAAACGATGTTTCGAAGATTTGAACATTACAATTTAATTCTTTCACTTCATCGAGATTTGACCGATGCGAGATTTAATCATTAATATAGAACAGTCAGCAATGATGAATAATATTTGTTACGTAATTTATTTTTTTTTCTTACGTAATCTAACACAATTGGAAGAACTTTTTAAATAATTATTTTTACTTTCTACTAAACGAGCGAAATAAAAAAAGCCAAAAATAAAAAGATAAGATAAGAAAGGGGGAGGGATGAAAAAATAAATCGTGAAATTCGCACGACGATAAAAGAGACTTGGATCGTTCAAGAATGCGACAATACGTCGTAGTCGAGTAAAAGAAAAGAATTACAAACGATACCGCTATCGCGGAATTACGCGGAATGAGAGGTCGAGAGGCAAGAAAGGTCAAGACGAGAAAAAGTGTTCAAGGTGTTCGAGCTTTCTCATCGCGTTTGGAAGGATAAAAGAACAAGAGGATCCTCGTTGCGTTCCTTTTTCTCCCCGAGGATCGGTCGTGAAGGTGACTCACTTCTAAAGTGGAAGTTTTGATTACTACACCTTCCTCTTTCTGGTGGCTGTGTGGTGGTGAGTTGTGCTAGCGGTTTAATCGAGTTCCTCGAGATTGCAAACCCGCCACGTACTATATAACCGATGCTCGGTCAATCGATTCTCTCAATCGTAATCTCTCTCTTCGTGTCGCCAACAACGCCTTTTCTGTTCTCACTTTCGAAATATCGGGCGGAGAGACGTTGATCCTTGCGCCATGTGGGCTACACTCGCGGTAAGGGAGAATCTTTCCATGTAAAAATCCGCTGTTCGTTATTGTTGATCCGTATATTTTAATAATATCAGAATTTATTAACGTTGATGCAACGATGTTTCTCGATGAATAAAAAATATATCGTGTATGCAATTTGATTATTATTATAATAATGGAATAATGGCGATTTATCATTCCCTAATAGTGATAATTACGTTTAATATCGTTAAGTAATTTTTTTAATAATATTATTCGAAAAGAATAAGAAACGATTAATATCGTTCTAACTGCGATACGAATGTATATTATTTAACAAAAATTATATCTATAAACTATCAACTTCTTCATTACGAAAAATATAAGATTATGCAAATAATACGCAATAGGAAGTGGTCAATCTCTTTCAAGCTCGATAACGATTATCTTAAAACCACGATACACACGTACTTTTCTTAAATATTTATCAAATCAAAGGATCGTGTTCTATCTATCTTTCTCCTTTTTTTTTTTATATATTTTGAATCTTTTTCTACAGATTGGTTGTCTGATAACAAGCTTCGGTTTCAACGCTGCGGAAAGATCGTTGAACTCGAACTCATTCTTGAAACAATCGGATCCTATTCTATCGAGATTAAGAAATTGGAAGACGTGCCAGCCAGGCTTTCACGAATATTCGAGAAAAACGGTCGTATTAGGAGATTGCGCGTGGAGAATCAGCATGGATTCGATGGGAAAGTGGAAAAGATTAACATCAATTCCGAGGAGGATCTTCCTGGAATTCGGGCATACGGTGTGGAGAAGGAAAAATTGTTAAATAACGGCCACATCGAGAAATCGGTACAGCGAGAGATTATGAGAAACGTTGAGGATGATTCTAGGGTTGCTCGTTCGGTACGCGAAAAAATATTTTTGAAAACAAATTTTATCAAGATAATTTAGGACGTTAAACGAAAGAGCGTTTAATGCTTTAATTTCCCAATGCAAATAATAAAATTCCATATGAAATTGCAGATTGAAGCATACGGGAAAACGAAGGAGCGTGTGGAGACGAACGGCTCTATAGAGCGAGGGCATCGGTCGGAAATCCATCAGTCTCGAAGAAATCCAAGATCGATCGAGGAAGAGATGAAACAGGACGGCGTTAAGAAGGAGGTGGAAGATCTGGAAGGTCAAGACTCGAAAGTGTTCAGACCGTTGTTCGTGTACAGGCAACAGGTGGCCAGGAGGAATCATTGGGTGAAAAATTATGCTTTCCCGGTCGGCGTGAAAGTCTCTTGTGAAAATCGAGCGCTAATTTTCTGAGCTGAGATCTCTTTCGACTCTTATCCCCTTCGTTTCGATCGGTTGGAAATCGGTTGCACGTGTCGCGATAAAGGTTTAATAAAGCGTAGAAACGTAGGAATCATTGGCTGAGAAAAATGGATGTTTGCACGCACAACAAAGTCCTTGAAGTCGACTAATTATCATAATAATTAACCGATTGAGTCAGCGTCAACTTTGTGCCATAAAAGAAGAAAGCGGTTGTTGAGGATTGGAGGAGGATGATGACAGTGAGGATGATGTTAAGTGCCTACGTACTTGGTGATTGAAAGCGCGATAAGTGGACGATGAAGGCAAGCAGAGAATTTTATCGTTTTTGAAATACCAAATAGTATTATAATTAGTGTATAATGGTAGAACATATTACCAGTAGGGTGAACAATTTGTATGTTAAATGAAAATATCTTTGCGATCTTGAACGTTAAATCAAACCTTTTTTTTTTTATTATTATTTTTCTTCTATTTTGTATTCTATATACTTCTCTTATGAGAAGAGAATACACGACACGTATGGTGTATGTATACCCATTGTCGTAAAACGACAATTGTTACAAGTGTTACGATTTAATTTTGTAAGAAAAAAAAAAAAAAAAAGAAAAAAAACTAGTTTTTAAGGAATTATTTTTTCACCGTATATAGAATAGAAATTAAATGAAAACATCTGATGGTAAGCAATTTTTTTATTCATCCAATTTTATATAATGTCCAATTTGTCTAATTTGACAAATTTAGAATGAGATGGATCGATCAGAGATATTTCTACATTGATTGCATTTTATCAAAAAACAGTTGCCTTTTAAGAAATTTCTTTTACACTCAATTTACCTGAATATCATGTTTACCATGCATGGTATAAGAAAAACATCTATTACACTGTTAACCAATAAATGTCAAATAGACAATAAAAACGGCAACGAAGTAGTCGAAGTGAAAAAAGAAGGAAGAAAAACAGAAAATACAGAGAGCAAGTAAGTGTTTAATAAATGTACATTATTTATTATAAAATTAATATATAAATATGAAAATGAATCAAATCGGATATAACAGCTATGATGATAAAACGTGTATATATATATATATATTATTTTGCAGAAAATCTAGACAAAAAAAAATCGCCAATTTTTTATTCATTATCGTTGATCGTGTTGCATGCTCTGGACGCAATTCTTTTAATCATTCTTTTACCATTCATAATCTGGCAATGGATTTCCGCTAACGATCGTTTAAAGATCATTCTGAAAGCCGTTGTAGAAGTATTTCACTTTCATTTAATCATTAATTTTCGAAATCTTCTTAAGATCTTTCTCAATTAATTATAAATACATGTCGTATTCATTGAAATTTTTCTGATACATCATCGCTTTAGGTTACGTTAGAATTAATTATGTGGGTGATTTTCGCTGGAGTATCAGTTCTTATGACTATGACATTCGTTATGGAAGATCTTTATTACGGAAGAAACGACCAGGAGAAATTGACAAACCAATTGAACATGCAAAACGAATCAATGTTGAACGTCAATGAAATGCCAAATTTGTTAAAAGAACAAGAGAAAGTGAAAACTGTTGAGAATTGAGATCGATCGATTTTTACTTTTTATTTCTTTGTCCTATTATTTTTTTATTATTTATTTTATTGGTTTTCAAATGAAGTTTTCTGTATCTAACTTTTTGTATCCTTTTAAAGAAAAATACAATTTTTTACTCGTAAATATGGTAGTTTCGTTCAATGCGATTTATATAGGGAAAAATATTAACATTCGAATAAATTGAATAAAAATATTTTATTTTTCGAATAGAACATATATGCATGCTTCTTTCTTTACTTACATCAATTTATTACAATTGGTACGTACTTCAATATATTGTAATATAGATATATATAATATAATAGTATTAGACGTATCGATTAAAATAAAACAAAAAATTATATTTATGTAAATAATTTTTAATATTCTTCAAACAACGAAATTACAAGTCTCCTCCCTCCTCCTCCCCCTCCTCTCTCTCTCTTTCTCTCTCTCTCTCTTTTAAATAAACAATAGGATAAAATAAAATAAACATTATCTCTCGTTTAATATGAAGAGAAAGTTCGTGAACAAAGTTAGATTTACTTTTGCATGACGAAATCCAAAAAATATATGTTCGACAGACATTGGACGCCTAATCGCCCAAAGACAAAATATTATTACATCTTTAAAATTTTTGAACAGAGAATTCTTCATTACCGGGTACTGGCAAAGATTCTTCTTCTTTTTCCAAGAACGATGGCTCCATCAACGGTAATTTTACATTTGTATTTTCGTGAATCACTGGGATTTCCATATTTTCGCGTAACAAAAATGCATCGAGTGATTGTTGTTGTAAATTAAAAGGTGAGATATTTTTGTTGTCCGATAATAATAACGAACCTAAAATTTCCTCGGAGATAAATTTGGTGATGGGCGAATTCAATAAATCGAGAACGTCGCTCTTTTGAACGCGAACGGTTAAAGCTTCGATTTGAGTGGATAACATACGCAAAATGGCAAGTTTGATAGTTTTGATTGCCTCGAATTTGGATAATCCGATCTCAAACGTGGTATCTATAAGTTTGTCGTCCACGAGCTTTGATATACTTCTTTCGTGTATGGTATTAGCAGATTTTAATTGTTTCTCGCCGATGGTATGATCGTTGGGCCGTGCCAGAGTATATGTGCCTGATAATGCCATCGTGAGAAAGGCCTGAAAAAATTTGAAGCAAAAATATTATAAAGAAATTATTGGTAAAGAACGCATATAGCTATACTTTGGATGATAAAATAATAATAATTGGATGAAAATTAATATTTTCTTTGAAATAAGATAACTATTAAAATTATATTTTTTTTTTTCAATTTATATTTTGTAATTGATGCTTTGGGTATAATTTATTATTAAGATTAATATTTTTAAACAACAATTATAATTTGGATTTTCTCCTTATCCTTTCTTCCTTCTTTCGAATTTCTATAATCTTTAATAAAAAAAAAAAAAAATATTTGCTACATAGGTAAGAACGAATTGGAACTTACGAAAAGAACGAATGCACTTGATACCTTCATGGTGTATATCCACGAATATAACTTGAATGACTTCTAGTGGAACTTGACTCCTTATATATACATGTCAGACCTAATGACCTAACATTAGGATTTTTGTCCTTTAGGATATTTTCGATGCATAAATATATGAACTTTCATCTTGATTGCAATATCCATTATGTGATCTAAAAGTTCATTGAATTCGTGATTATCTTTTTAATAATTTAGATATTAGATTACTAAATATTTAAACGTTAATTAAAATACATATACAACATGCATTAAAAATTTAAATAATAATACCTAAAAATGTAACAGTTTAAAGAAATATAATAATAAAAAGCATAAAATATGAATAGAAGATAATAAAAGATAAATAAAAAGAATTTATGCGTTTTTTACAAAAATAATTTTCTGTCGCAAATAATATACATGTATATATAAGATATTATAGAAAAAGCGACAAAATAAAGACAAGGAAAACAAATAGTAAAAAAAAGAATAAAAAATAGTATAATTAATTGCGCCATCTCTTGAATATTCTTAGAAGTATATCTTTAGTATTTAATCAAGAGATGGCGCTAATAGTTGATTCTTACCCTATCTTATCTTTCTTCCATTTTTTTGCTTTTTATTTATATTTCATTTGTGGCACTCTGAAGATGGCGCTGATTTCAATATTTTGTAGCAATTACGTTTGAGAAAGCATAATAAAAGACTGATATCACTTGTATAGATACTTTTTTTTCACAAGATACTGCAATACGGAACATGCACGCATATATTGAACTTTTTTTTTTTATTCTTTTCTTTTATTCTTAAATTTATTACTAATATAATTATATATAATATATATATATATTATATTTAGAAAATTACTAGCTTAATTGTGTATGAAATTTAGAAAATTATTTGTATTAAAACTAGGGACTTTTGTGACTAAAACATCGAGTACAATGAGAATGCTACACTTTTTACTATCCTTCTTTCATTATTTGTTCTCCTTGTTTAAATTATTGATTAAAAATTTTAATAGGATTTATTGAATTTAATTATTACTATTTAATTATTATACATATGTGTGTATATGTATTTCTGAGAAGTTAGAACAAATTTATACTATATTATAATTGATCGATATAATAAATTATATTTGTAAAATATACATATATTTATTAAATAAAATATAAGTTACATTATGTTATATATAAAAGACAACAATTGTAAAATGTATAAATGTATTTTAATAATTTTTTATATGATATCACTATGTATATCACTAAATTCAAAATTCAAATTTACTAGTAAATTTTAATAGAGGTCGCTTTGATAAAAAAATAACATATACTATTTCCCATCTGAAATAACGTAGTTTGATAGCTTTAAAGTGTGTCATGATAATTCGTTATTTGTAGATGAACTGTCTGTTCTAGTGTACTTATAATGAATATTGTGTGATATATTATTGATTATAAGTTCAAGAAATTCGTGTTGACTGACCAGAGTCCACGAATTTCTGACGTACTTTTTATAAGTATGTTTTCTCGATGTTCAATATAGTAATTTGCGTATAGTTCTGTAATGATAGAGAAGGAAAAGAGAAAAAAAGAAAAGGAAGGGAAAGGAAGAGTAAAAAAAAAAAAGTGCATTTTGTTTAGAGCCTATTAGTGAACTTATTAGAAGTTCTTTCTAACAGGCTCGTGTATCAGACATTGTGATAGTGAGAGATGATTAGTGAGAATTATTTTGAGAATTGTATTTGGTGTGCATCCCTCTAGTGGCGAATATAGGAGGGTCACCACACATTAATACGCGACCGCACCCGTCTCTATGTGTGGTGATTCATAGATATAATATTTATCGAATTTTACGCCAAAACTAAATGCAAAATGACAGAGGTTCACAATTTAGGCGTTGATGCCATTAGTTGTCATGCTTGGAATAAAGATAGAAAAGGTTTGACTTTCATTTCATGCAACACAATTCCTTTGCCAATCAATGAACAGTCTTGATATGTTTTTACAGAGGTGGCAATCTGTCCAAATAATAATGAAATTCAAGTTTACAAACGAACGTCAAGCGGTTGGAAATTGTTACAAAACTTGCAGGAACATGATATGCATGTCATGGGTATTGATTGGGCACCAAATACCAATCGAATAGTAACATGTTCTGCTGATAAAAATGCATATGTTTGGACACAAGAAGGAGATGGGAAATGGAATCCAGCATGGGTGCTTTTAAGAATAAATCGAGCAGCAACTTGTGTAAAATGGTCTCCATTAGGTATAATATTAATTAATTATCAATTTATTATAATATTTGAATAAGCGTAAAATCCCCTTTTCTTTTTTTATAGAAAATAAATTTGCTGTTGGATCTGGAGGTAGAGTAATAGCTGTTTGTTATTTTGTGTCTGAGAATAATTGGTGGCAGTGCAAGCATATAAAACGCCCATTGAGATCCACCGTAACTACAGTCGATTGGCATCCAGACAATAAAGTTCTAGTTGCTGGGTCCACTGATTATAAAGTTCGTATATTTAGTGCATTCATTAGTGATATGGAAGATGCACCTGGTAACGGTCCTTGGGGTCATAGCAATACTTTAGGAACGTTACTCGCTGAATTCCAAAATACTCCTAATGGAGGTAAAGAAAAATATCTTTATTAAGAACATTAGTAAAAATCTTTTTATTATGTTTGTTAATCATTTTTTTTCTTTTTTTTTTTTTTGCATTTAGGAGGTTGGATACACTCTGTTGCATTTAGTCCTTGTGGTAATAAAATTGTTGGGTAGCACACAATTCATCGATTTGCATTGCAGATGCTACTAAAGGAAATGCAGTTATACGATTGTATACAGAGCATTTGCCATTTTTAAGTTGTGTATGGATGGGGTCCAATTCCATTGTTGCTGTGGTATTTATTTATATTTTTTTATATTTAGTAAATAATGATTGATAATTTTTATTACGTATTACAATAAATATTAAATATAATTTAATTGGATTTTTTTAGGGACATAGTTGTATGCCTATGTTATATTCCATAGACGACCATGGTCAACTATATTTTGTATCAAAACTAGATAATACGCAAAAAAAAGAAGCTGCCGGTTTGTCTGCCATGCGTAAATTTCAATCGTTAGATCGCCAAGCGAGAACCGATACGAATGACAATGCCTTGGATAGTATTCATCAAAATACAATTAATTGTGTACGCAAAGTATCGGATAACGAATTTAGCACGAGTGGTTTAGACGGTCAATTGGTAGTTTGGGATCTTAAGGTAAACCTCAATATTTTCCATTTACAATCAATAAAAACATATCGTCAAATTAATCTGATTGTTTAATTTAGCTTCTGGAAAATTCCATTGCTGGTCTCAAGATATCATAGGTAAAAATCTTTTTTTTTATATTGAAGGAAGACGGAATCAAAGGAAGATATTACATCCGAAGAAAAGATGTATAAATGTTAAATCTGAAACGAAAAGAAAGAAATATACAATTTCTCATTAAATAATATAATTATATCAATTATTCCTACATAAAATACATTATATTTTTAGCTAAATACATGTTGACACGTGTATAAGTTGAATTAATATAATTCCTTTGCCTCGCATCCACAATTCTATCAATTTAAATCGTATCGAATCGTATAATTCGTTATATCCCTCTATCCTTTCTTTATCTCGCGCGATACGCATCATTGCCATTGACGCAATGCTTGTTTCCATTCGATGAATGGTTTACATAGTTTCAGACAATACCGATAAGTACATCGGTTCACCGTTTGTCAGGCGTAAAAAGTTGATTCGCGCCTGGAAACCACACAGTCTCGTGCAGCTCGAGTGGGGGGCAGCCGGACAAGTTCAGCGCTAATATCGATTCAGTCTCGCACAAACCACCCCCATGTACCGTGCCCGTTGCAGCAGCTCCACCTTTTAACTTTGTTTTCCGTTCGGTGTCATGACTGACACATAAACAGAGATAGAAAGAAAGAGAAGCATCGCGGTAAAAAAAAAAATCGTGTGCATCATGCACACCGTTCTCCACGAACAGAACGGACACAGTGACGCGTTCTATTCTTTCAACGAGTACTGGGAATATATATTAGACACGAACGAGATCATCGTCAATAGAAACGTCTCTGCCAATAATACTTATCGATTCAGTAACTAGTCTTGAAGAGACATTCCATTGTTCGCACAGTTTACAGTGAGGTGATCAAGTTTATTCATAAATTCAATTCGTAACCAACGGGCGACGCAAATTATTTTGTTCATCTTACACAAAGAATATTTTTGAACGTGTACTTGTATCTTATCTCGCGACGTTAATCCGTCATTACGCTTTTTTCTTCCATTTCAATTTTTTTATCCTAGACGTTCGCGTCTTTTCCCTATTCTGGTATATACATTTTTCGTCGTATAGTTCGCGCGATTGTTACACGGGTTGTCGATTAAAATAGATCCTTCCAGTAAAACGTCCATCATCGATTCGCCGCGTGCGATGAAGGGTTGCGTTCGTTTTTCTCATTACGCGTGTTGATAAAATCTATAAAATTTAAGAAGACTGTTCAAAGTTATGATCGAACATTTTTCATGGGATTACCGATCGAATCCATGCGCTTGAGGATCTCGCAATTGTCGTGTACACAGCGTAAAGACTTGCGAACGCAAGTGGACGAAACAAGCATAAAAAGCGGAAAGGTGGTGAAAGAAATTGGTGTAAACCCGAAAGATTGAGTTTTTGTCCGTGTGTTGTCCGAATATGAAACGCTTCAATCACGACCACACGCATCCCTATTCGTCTTGACTAGAAATTGTGGCTGAGCAAAGAAAGTGCGTCCTCGCTTCTTGAGAAATGTCTTCAATATCAGCGCAGGGGGTCGTCGAAAGAGCCAGCGCCGAGTTAACCAAGAGAATTAACGGTCTGGGGTTGAGAGCGTCTAAACATCATGGTTAGTAAATTCCTAATTAATAATCATTTGTTTCTTTGTAACTCGAGCATAGTGTAAAGATCGTATCTTATATGTATTTAAGGAAAATGAATTGAATTAAAAGAGTGGTCTCGATTTTTAAAATTTGTTAAAATACATTTTCATTCGTTATTTTACTTTTTTTTTTTTTATTTTAGATAAGATTAAATACAAAAAAAAGTAAAGAAAAACAAAATCAAAGAAAGGGCAATATATTAATCATTCAATCATTCAATTCTCAATACAATATTTCGTTAAACTTTTAAACCAATAAGAAATTTTATTAAATAATTCTTTAATTATTTCCCCTTAGACTTCATCTCTGTAGTCCATTTTATCTTTTGAGCAAATAATCTTTTTTACTTAAGAATAATTTACGATTGACAATTTTAATTGATGATAATATTGAAATTAAAAAATAATTTATAATTATCGATTTCAATTCAATTTTTTAAAATAAAAATGTTCTAACACAAAAATCACAGGTTAATCAATTGTTTTCCCCCTTCCTCGTTGCCCAATTGTATTGAAATTTCAAACGATCATCGAAATAAGAAAAGGTAATTCACAATTTTGCCTCAATCGTTATTACATAATCGAGATGAAGAATTGATTTCTGTTAAACCGCAACCTCGAGCCGCTCCTTTAACCCGCGTTTCTTAATTCTCCGCTATGCAATATCAGCCCAACTTCGTATTGTCCTTCGGATTCTCATCCGAAATGCTCGTTTAAAACCATTATGTACCTTTAGACGCAATCTGAACTGCAATGGAATCGATAGCATTCGTTCTCATGCACATAGAAATGTAGAAACCAAACTGACCATCTCGTAATATTTCATTTCGTTAAAAAATTCCCTGGTTTAAAATTCGGTGTACAATTCGGTTTTAATCCTTTGCTCGAGTTTTCCCATTTTCTTAAACCTTATTTAAAGGTTGACTAATTAAACACTCTTGATCAAATTGATCAAATCACTATTATCAAAAGAATTTCTCGAATTTTTTTATATAATCTTATCATATAAATTACAAGATAAGTAAAAATAAAAATATACAATCTCTTTGTAAAACAGTTATATAAGCAAACTCTCGCAAATAAATTTTATACATTTTAGAATTATATTCGAGTTAAAAATATTAAAGATAAATAATAAATATAATAAAATTTTACAACGTATAAATTGTTAATTTATTAATACTAGTTTGTGATAAAAAATAAATATCCTCAAATAAATCCATCATGATTAATCTTAACGAATTTTATCATAAAAAAATATGCTGTTTCAAATTACAGTTGCAATCGTCGAGCACAATCAATGAAACATTGTTGTATTCGATCATTTTCAACGTAGCGTATGAATTTATTTTTATTTTAGTATTAATCGTTAATTATATCGTGAGTAATATCGTGTCAATCTACTACGGATCAGAAATATCGATATATCGATAATTTGTTGCATCCGAGGGAAGGTCGAGTATCGAGTATTTGAACGAGAATCAGAGAAACAAAAGAGCACGTCTGTTTCAGCGAAAAAACCGTGACATGAAAATAGATTTATTTCAACGCTTGCAATCACCATATTCCCGTTAATCTCGTACGATTAATAAAGTCGGCCAGGATTGGTGAAAATTTTCCTCTGGGACGATTAATCATCCGTGTTCATGCCTCAAACGACCGACAATCATCATTCGTTCGTCAAAACGTGGAGCTATGAAAATAATCTATTTTTACGCGCGTTTTCATGATGGTTTTTCAATGTTGCAGGAAAATAAATTGCAGTTAAATAAAAAAACGTAGCGTCGAATCAATATTTTCTTGGTTTCCTTTAAAAGAAATTATCAACAAAATTTGTTAAAAATTATTTTTTTTTTTTATATATTTTATTTATTTGTATATGTAAATCTAAAAATAGGTTGTTCGAAGAAGTGATCAATACAGACGATGAAATTTGAAATGTCGTACCGTTTAGAAAGTCATTGTTACACTACGATGAATTCTGTTCGAATCACAATTTCAACAGCCAATTATCGAACATCAATAGAATAATTGTTACTTCAACGGGAAAAGTAAGAAACGTATCGTGGAATACAGTATTTTGAAATATATATTTTTAGTTTTGAAATAAATAATTCCATAACAGAGAGTAGAATCTGATTTAATGGATTCGCAAAAAGAGAGAAAAAAAAAAATGCTCGTCATACGATAAAGAGATAGAGACAGGAAATAGAGACGTACCCAGAGCCAAATAGGACATACTGTTCGAAAATAAAACGAAAATAACTGCTGCATCTTCGCAGCGAGTTTACCTTTGCAGAAACGCTTTTAAAGACAAGCTCGCCAATGTAATATTCCATGCAAGTTTTTCATTTCTTTTTTTAACAATCGACAATCATGATTTAATTAAATTTACAAATTGCGTATTAAGGGACAACATTATTTGAACAACTGATGATGTTTTAAAAGAATTTGCATAAATTATTCTATTTATATTCTATAAATCGATAATTGTTAAACATCTTAAACGCCTATGAAAGGATATATTTAAAATTTTCGATTTACATCGAGGATATTCCGTACGCGTTCGTGGATATTAAGTATTTGATTACGAGTGTTTGCCATCGGGAGAATAAATATTATTTCGGATGAATTTAAGAGAGCCTTGAATATCGAAAAATTTTTATCGAATCCTTTCCATTATTTTGTTCAATCGATATTTCATCGTTTCAAACAAATTACGATATAATACAATACGTTGGTCGCAATTGGTTGCACAGATTCCCAGAATATAAGACTTAAGACTTTCGCGCATCGGTTTCAAGATGTTAGCGAGCAGCGCTATTAAACTAACACGGATAGTACGATTATCATCTTGAAGAAAAAAAAAAAGGAAACTGCACTTGCATACATTTTTTTTCACAGAATTAACTCAATTAAGGAAGTTCTCTTAACAAGAGAAGAGATTTTCATACGTGTATACGAAAACTGTACATGTAACACCGTTCGAATTACTTAGCTTAATTAGAAAACCCTCGTTAAAATCCCATTTAAAACGCGCATTATTATTATTTCACTTCATTTTACCTCCATTCCTTTGCGTAAAATAAAAAGGAAGAAAGAAAGAAATAAAGAGAAAGAGTAGAGGAAACGACGTTTAAAATAAACGAGGAAATGTTTCAGGTGGGGGAAAGGCGAGCGTCATGGAACGCGTTACGCACGTGTTCTGCGGTAGCGGAGGAGTTCCGTATACGAATTTGCAGAGCGCGAACAATGCGAACGCAACCCCGGAAAAGCCGAGCAGAAGCGTGCCAACGTCGATGAGTAACATGCCATCGGCGAATAACAAGGGGTTGAGCAACATCGGTACACCAAGCAGGGCGAGGATATCGAGGAATCGAGGGAAGAACGTGCCTCTGGCGAGTGGTGGGACGGGTGGATACATCGCGCCTACCACGTGGGATCAGCTGATGCAAGATGATCATTTCCTCAGCAAATTCTTTCTCTACTTCTCCGCCATCGAGAGGAGGATTTTGGCTCAGGTGCCAGCGATCGAATGATCGTTATTAATCAAACTTACTTGCGGATGCGTAATCGTAGCTCGCTCTTCGTTTTTCTTTGAACGTGTCAACGTGTTCCATTCCCGGAGAGAAAGGGAGGGGGAGAGGTGAAAATGTTTTTCTTGGCAGAATATCTCGAAAGGATATCTTCGTGAAAGAATTATTGTATGAATAATTGCAATTTTTTCTTATATTATATTTTTGTAAAGGAAAATCATGAATATCGGAAAAATATAATTAATTATTGTACAAAAAGTAGAATTCTACTTTTGGTTTAAGAAAATTTAATAGATATTTTTTACAAATAGGATGAAAATGGAACGATCAAACATGAGGTTTTCGTGTATTCAATTATTTTTTATATCCTTACAATACTTTTAATTTATATTTACAATGCGATTAATGAAAAAAGATATATATATTTTCTTCTGCTCGATAAAAATTTCTTGAAAGGAATGGAACATTCGATATTCTTAGTATTTCGCAAAACTGGAGGATTCACAATATGGATTAGACAATAGTTGTCTTGTTGGGCATGTAAGATTCTTCTTGATCATAAAATAAATCATTTGTGATTAAGAGAGTCTTGTGAGACGCTTTGTCAACCGATATATTTGTTTGGCAGTAATCGTCACTTGGCTTCGCATCTTAATCGTGGATTCACATAAATTTGCAATAAATTATTCCTTCATCTTTTTATTTCCAACACTTTCTATTTTCACTATTAAAATTTTCCATCATTTTGAAATTTTCTATTATTGAAATTCTCCCTTTTCTGAAAATAAAACAAAAATTTAATCGTACGATAATATATATATATATATATACAGGTATGCTTAAGATGGAGAGACATACTTTACGCGCGGCCTCGACTTTGGGCAGGCTTGGTACCCGTAGTAAGATGTCGCGAAGTACGTGCCATGCCTTCTACTTCACGCACGCGTCTCTACGCCTCCTTAGTTAGAAGAGGATTTCATTCGTTGGTTCTTCTCGGAGCATCGGACGAGGATATCCCGGAACTGACGCACGGCTTTCCATTAGCGCAAAGAAATATTCATTCGTTATCGTTGAGATGTTGCGCGGTGACCGACAGGGGACTGGAAGCTCTCTTAGATCATTTACAAGTACGTATATAAACTAAATTAGAGAGTTTAAATTAAATTCGAAGAAATATGTATATACAACTCGTTACAAAATATCACTTATCTCTTGATTCCGGAGATAAAATAGCGAAAAGATTTTATTGATATAATGTTTAATCGCTATCAATATGAATAGATTTCCTCATGAAAAGACCATAATTTAAATGAAAGATACGAAAATGGTTTGATCTCAATTCAAACAATTAGAAACAATTAGAAATGAATTTTCTTTCAAATTTATTTTTCTTTAATTTTCAAGATCAAGAAATAAATCGTTAGATATAAGTTATCATTATCATTGGATATTTTGTGTTCCATAATTTTATGACCTTGAAAAAAAATTTTTTTTCACCGTGTTACCTTTTTTTTTTTTTTTTAACTTTTTATCGACTTTTATTTTTAGTTTCTCGTAAGTTCTCTATATAGGGTGTCTCAAGATATCAATCAAGTAGGAAATGATTCTATAAAAATAAGTCGGAGAGGAAAAATGAAATATTTATATTTAAAATTTTGTTTTCAATTAAATTAAATGTTATGTAATTAAATACTATTCCTTGTATATTATTTACATCATATTATTAATTAGATTGTGATTATTAAAAATTAAAAATTGTATGCATTCGCAAACAACTTTAACAAAATATTCTTCCTACGGATATTTCTTCTCCTTCAAAATTTTTACCATATCTAATTCTTTTTTCCACATTTTCAGGCATTGTTCGAGCTTGAACTAGCAGGTTGCAACGAAATAACGGAAGCCGGCTTGTGGACTTGCTTAACACCTAGAATAGTATCGCTCTCCTTGTCGGATTGTATCAACGTGGCTGATGAAGCCGTCGGTGCTGTCGCTCAATTACTGCCGAGTCTCTACGAGTTCTCGTTGCAAGCTTATCATGTAACCGACGCCGCCCTTGGATATTTTCACGCAACCCAGAGTAGCTCCCTTAGCATCCTCAGGCTGCAATCCTGCTGGGAACTCACCAACCATGGTATAGTCAATATTGGTAAGAAATCGTTCTTTTTAATTTTTACTTAACTCGATTCAATATCTATCTGGTTGTAATGCATGTTATGGATTAGAGCCGTTAACCGTGAAATGTCTAGAAAGTAAGTAATGGCCTACATATTAGTTCAGAGAAAGAATCTTGTTTAGAATCTCCTCGATATTTTGGACAGCTGTACACCTTGATCCGAGTGGACAAAAATTAATTAGGCATTCAAATGTGTCACATAAAAATTCTCGAATTCAAGAATTATCGAACCATGAATCCGGGCTGTTTCTAATATTTTATTAATATTGACTTTTATTATCATAATAGTTGTTATAATAATACAATATAATCGTTGTACAATATAATTTGAAAAGATATGTGAACGATTATTCAAGAAAAGCAGGACAGTTACGACACCGTTCTCCCAGGATCCAGGTAGAAATAATTCATGATAGTATGAAATTAAGATAAGTGGTCCACGCATCCAGCCATTATAAATTTAGAATTAAGAAACCGCTTTATTTAGCTTTCATGCTGTCACCAACAGCTCAGACTCACGCTCCTAGATGAGTAAAACATAGACAATTCGAGGACAACGACCGATTGTCGTTATTTATACGATAGCTTCGTATTGGTCTAAAAAAAAAAAAAGAAGAAGAAGAAGAAAAGAACAAGACGTAAGTAAGAGAAAATGAATCATTTATTTTTTTCGTTTTATTTTTCCAGTACATTCCTTGCCCAATCTGACTGTCCTGTCGTTATCCGGATGCAGCAAAGTAACGGATGACGGTGTCGAATTGATAGCAGAAAACTTGTCCAGGCTTCGTTCATTGGATCTGAGCTGGTGCTCGAGGATCACCGATGCCGCCTTAGAGTATATCGCCTGTGATTTGAATCACTTAGAGGAGCTTACCTTAGACAGGTGAGAATTGATTATAAGAAAAGACGTCCAATCACAACCAACGAACAACCGTTTCATTTCTTTGTATTGCTCTTTTTTAAATCGTGTTAGCGACATCGTAGCGTGATCCACCATAGTAGTGTGTTTAGACCGTGGTGAATCCATACGATCCATTCATGTTCTAAATACTGAACACGTTAACGAGCGTTTCTATTTACGATCGACTATTATGCAATGCCATGATGAATCATGCGATCGTAAACGCATTCAGATGTTTAAAGACAGTACTTCCTATAAGCGTCAAACATATATATATATGTTTGTACATATGTTGAATCTTTCAAATAATATATTTGATTGTATTTAATGCTGCAATTATAGAAAAAGTTTATTTTATAAATCACACATATATGTATCACTTTCAAGATGAACTTGGAATTTGAAACATTTTCATATACATACCAATATATTATATATTTTAAATTGATTGACAGAATCACAGAAACCGTATTTTGAATAATTGGATAAAGAAAAAATCCTGTATTAATTGATTTCTGATTAATAAAGATATTGTAAATTTATTTTATATAATAATATATCTTCTATAATTGTGCGATAAATTTGTAAAAGATATTTAGAAATTGAATTAAAATGTAATAGGAAAAAATCAAAAAAGTCAAAAAGAAACAAAAATGAAAAAATTTAAAAGTTCTATATTTAAGAAGAAATTCAAAGGTGAATAGTTTATTAAATTCTTCTTTTCTTCTTCTCATATAGATGTGTGCACATCACAGACATAGGTGTGGGCTACATTTCTACAATGGGATCATTGAGCGCATTGTTCTTGAGATGGTGCATTCTGCTTAGAGACTTTGGACTTCAGCACTTGTGCGGCATGAAATCCTTACAAGTACTCTCTGTGGCAGGTAAGATCAAACTAAGACGTACCCTATATGATGCATTATATTGCATACATCAAAATTTAAAATACGAATCTTTTTCTTTAAAAAGAGAACAATCAATGATCTGATTGCTATAAAAAGAAAGAATCAAAAAGAACCAAAAAGAAAAAGTAATATTTTTTAAAAATTTATCTAGAATTTTATATACATATATAAATAGATAATATAGAATGAAATGTTAAAAAATATAAATTTTTCACAGGCTGTCCATTGCTCACAAGTAGCGGATTATCCAGTTTGATTCAGCTTCGACATTTACACGAGTTAGAGCTAACCAATTGTCCGGGAACATCTCAGGAATTATTCGATTATTTGCGTGAACATCTGCCCCGCTGCCTAATCATCGAATAAATTATGCTACAGTAGAAACAACAGGCAACAACAGTCCTAGTAATACCTTTGCGTTCCAATTCAGAAAAGTTTCTATTTCTATAGAATGCGATGGCAAAAAAATGTTTTATGTAAAGCAATACTTAGACAAGGATACGACGATTGTATTTATGTATAAGAGGAGCTGATATAATAATGATGCAGATATAAGAAAGAAGCAATTGACGTCCAAACTTGAACACTACCGCATATTATTGTTCTCTCTTGTAACGATAAAGGGTATAAAAAAAAAAAAGAAAAAAGAAACACTAGCCTTTAAAAACATGCAAATGTTAACACTAAGATAGCATGTAGACATTTTTAATACACCAGAGCTCCTATATGAATCGCACTCCTTTCTCGCCGATGTTTAGAACTTTAGATCGAATTGTACGGTTCGATTCGTTTTGTTATTTTTCTTTTTCGTTTTTTTCGTTTTAAAAATGTTTGAAAAAAGATAACGAAAAAAAAAAAAAAATAGCAAAAACATGCGCCTCTCGGTAATTCGATAATCTGTACAGACTTTTACACAAGTCCCCGCTTGATAATAGAGAATAAAGAAAAAAACAAACGAAGAGACAGTTTAATTATAATAGATTCTTGTTAAAAAGAAGAAAAAAGATATAAAAAAAATAAAAGAACGTAGAAATTATCCGACGAGATGACAGACTCAACAGTTAGAACTGTGATAAATTTTTATTATATGTATACCATTCTACTTCAACTATGTTTAGGGCGTTGTTTAACCCGCTTCAACGTTCGAATGTGCGTGATTATTGAAAAAAAAGAAAAAACATTAGTCGCATTGCTTTTTGAAGAAAAAAAACAAACAAGTTACTACTTTAGAAATATCATTAAAAAAAAATTAACAACATAAAAGAAAAGAAAAAAAAATCAGAAAAACATTCCGGTTGCACGTTGATGAATATTTTTATTTTGCATTATTCTGCGAATTTTGATTTATTCGACGATGTGTTTGCTAAATAAATGAATGAAAGAAAAAAGAGAAAAAAAACGTTAAAAATCATTGCACATATATGTATTGTCTAGAAGAAAAGAAAAATTTTTAACTTATATTTTACCTATGTATATTCTGCTGTCAAATAATGTTAATGTTTCCTACATTTAAGGCTTACATCTAGCTAAGTTTTCAAATGTTTTTTCATTAAATGTAATAATATATCGCAATATAGAAAAAAAAAAAGTGTTTTACGTGTTTATCTATTTCGATGGTTATTTAAAATGAATCAGTGTCAGACAAATACTATACATCTATTCCATGTCAGCACATAAGATATCAAAAGGGAATTATTCGCCACTATTGTAATTAAATAAGTGCAATATTTTTTTATGTTGAGACTTGCACTACTAAATAACTTCTGTATAACAGTTCAACACGATCTCGACTTCTACCAAACTGAAATTATTTTTTGCGTGTTACAACATGTTTAGCACATAACATCTTTGTATATACTGTACAAATATACAATTAATGATTCTGTTACCAATCAAAACTAAATATATAAATATATCCGCACAGTCGAAATTCTATCTGAGATCTGGTTGCATGAAGTCCGAATCACGGATATAACTTATAAGAGTGATATATAATAACATGATGGAATGTGCTGTGAATAAAAATTTATTGATCTGAATTTATTTTTGTATTCTTAAGTATTTTCCCACCATGTAAGCAATCCAAGACCTGGCTCATCAATAGCACCCTACAATATAGAATTAAAATAATCATTAATTTTAATTCAGAATCAAATCATTTTATATGATCATATCGATGACCGATATTTTCATAATATTTCTAAGGTAAAGATACATACTCCTAAAGTATATGGAGATATATTTTTGGCTTCTGATGTTTCAGTCTCCCCAGATATATTCGGTCCTGTAGGTAAGGCTTCAGTAAATGTTTCACTTACTACTCTGAATCGTATAATTTCTCCTAAAATTTATACATAAATCAATTGATATATTTTTGTTTTATATAATTAATTTTAAAATAATTTACCTGCATCCATAAATAAATCATGTTTTTCTCCATCTCCAGTATCATATTCCCATACCCATGCTTGTTCCATTTGATCAAATCTCGATGGATGTTGCAATTTGTGAGGTGGAATCACAATATCTTCAAAAAATCCTAATGTTACTGAGAACAAAAGTTTAATGGTAAATAAAATATAAATTGAAATAAAAATAATAATATTGTATGTAAATATTACCATGGACACCATCAATGCTACAACTACGTATTTTTCCTATTAATATTTCCTCCATAAATGGACGGAATACAATATAACGAAATATTACTTTGGTATGAGATGCACCATCGCCGGGAAAAATATATGATTCTTCAATTTTCGTAATGTCATGAAGAGCGATACAAAGACCAACATTAAGATAAACCTTTAATAAGTAAATTAATAATTTTATTTGAGTCTATTAAAGTTATATCAAAAAATTTAGATAAATTGCGATATTTTACCTTATTAGCTAACTTTCTATTAAGTTCATCTGTAATAGCATCGTTCAATTTTTGCTTGAATTCCACTGGTGGAATCCTAACTGTGTCTTTCAATTCCGCAAGAACAAACATTAGTTTATTATAAAACAACAAGTAGTTTTAAAATATAAAAATAATTAATATTTATTATATTAATTCACTTTTGTATATTTATATTGGCAAATATACTAATGTAAGTATATATGATTATATTCTATCAAAAATATTATGTGTTTTCGTATCGAGTGTAATACGCAACAAAGAAAACTGGATTATTGTCAATATAACCTCTAATACACGTGCTTTAAGACATTTAAATAGCGAAACAGAAAGAGGTATTAGATTCTACTCAATATTTAATCATATGAATATTTGAGATGAAAAATGTAATACATATACATATATATAATGTAATATATTAAAATATATTACATTAAATATATAATATATAATGTAATATATTAATATTAAAAAACGAAAATTGTTTGTTTATATTATAAATATTTAAGAATATTATTCGTATTTTAAAAAAGATTTTTTTTTTAACAGACAAACTATGGATAGCAAAGATGTTGTTAATTCAATTTTAGAAAATAATACAGAAGAGAAAGATACCCGAACTACAATAGTAAATAAAGATATAGAAGTTGAAACAGATTTAGGAACTCTTTTGGCATTAGATTACAACAATTTGGATTTAAAAGCAATAAAGTAACCTTTTTTTGTATTATATTTTATTTTTGGAATGATTTATATATATTTTTAACTAGCTTATTTTTTATAGATCACAACCTGAAGAATATTTAAAAAGTTTAACAAGGGATAATGTGCAAATATTGATTAATAAAATTTGGGAACTTCCAACAGAACGTATTGATGAAGTAATAGTAGCAAAATTACCTAAACAAAAATTTATATTACCAAGATCTCGTCAAATTCCAAAACCTAAACCTTTAACAAAATGGCAACAATTTGCTAAAGAAAAAGGTATTAAATCTAAAAAAAAAAGTAAATCTAAACTTAAATGGGATGAAGAATTACAGGTAAATTATTGATTTTATTTATATTAAAATTTAGCTTATTGATATATAAATAAATATTCACTTTATTTTGATACTTTTACAGAAATGGATACCTACATTTGGTTATAAACGTAATAAAGCCATAGAACAGAAAGAATGGTTGGTAGAAGTTAATGATGAAGGTAAAGCCATGGAAGATCCATTTGCAGCTGCAAAGATGGCTAAAGAAGAAAGAAAGTCTAAGAATGAATTGCAAAGATTACATAATATTGCCAAGGCAAAAAATATAAAAATTCCTAAAGTAGGACTTCCTACTAAAGAACATTTTTCTGATTCACAACAACTTTCACAAGCTGTAACTATTGCACGTACATCAACAGCATCTCTTGGAAAATTCCAAGATAGGTATATTATATCATTAATATTATATCATTAAAATATTAAATTTATATATTTACATATATTTAATATATGATATTAGGTTACCAAAAGAAAAAGATGCAAAAGGGATTGCCAAACAAGTTCCAGGTATGAAAAGAAAAGCTGAAGAAATTCCTAAAAATTTACAAGAAGAAAAAAAACGGAATACTAATCTGGCAGACAGTATTTTGAAGAGTAATACTAAAATTCTTTGTGAAGACTTTTCTGTACCAAAGTATGTTTTCATATTCTTTACAAAGTTAATTAATTAATTACAAAAAATTAATTAAGAAACACTACATAATCAAATATATTTAATTTTTAGAACAAAACCACTTAAAGTAGATAATAAAAAAAGTAAAAAAAGAACAAAAGCCAAGGGAGGAAAAAAACCAAAAGCAGGTAAAGGTCAACGAAATATGAGACTTAAAGTTGGAGGTAGAAAACGAAGATAAAAGAATAAATATTCAAATTTATTTGTTTAAATTTCAATTATCGTAATTTACAAAGTTATAATCTGAAATATATGATAAATATATAATAAATATACAATAGTAAAATAAATATTATTCATACAAAAAATTGTGTTTAAAATTTTGTGATTTCCTTTTAAATAATTATATTTTCGAAGTTTTAAAAGAAAAATTTCAATATTCAAAGTAAATAAGTTAGACTTACATTTATATCATATCGTACAATTTATAAATAACTAAAATCACGTATTAAAAATATAATCTATCATTTAACAATAATTAAAATAATAATATTCAATAGAAATAACATATATGTAATGAGATGTGCGTAACATGATAAGTATTCTACTTTCTCTTAAACTTAAAAAATAAGATAGAATAAGATAAACATATAATAATATAAATAATAAAATAAAAAATATATTCCAAAAATAAAATATAATTAAAATATATATTTTGTATCAAAAAATGTATCAAAATAAAATTAATCAAAGATAAAATATAATCTATATATCGTATATTCTAATGAATTTTAATTAAGAAGTTTGGTTAAATAATCGTGAATAAAATGAAAGGATAATTACGAGTCGATAAGGCAGGTTGTCCCTTAGCCACAGAATCAGGGTAATGCGAAAAAGGTGAAAGGTCAAAAGCAATACGGGATATCGACTCGGAGAAGTCGAGAGAGCGAGGTAACCTGGTAGCGGGTGTAAGGGAGGGTAAGTGCAAAAGCGGGTTGCCCTAGAATCTGTAAGGGGTTCCACCCCGCATGTGATTTTATACGTATTGTATATGTGTACATGTTCAATGCTATCTAAACGAAATACAAACGCATTAGGATACCTTGTGCAATCTATATGTTGAATGGTAAATACGTTAGATTCCTGAATTTCATTTAAAATTGCAATTCTGTTTGCTCATTATAATTTCAACATTTTATTTGATATTATATAAGAAATATTAAATAATAAATTTCATTGAATTTAATATATCGTTGTTGTAAGAGAAATAAGGGCACATGGTTGAAAGCACAGCAGTATGACTATATATGTATAGTGAATAATATTTCAGATCGGAAATATATGTATTATTTTGGATACAATATTATTAAATTTCGATATATAGTATTATTTAGAACAATAATTAAAATCTATAATTTTATTATAAATTATGATTATGTACATATATAT